GGTTTGTTTCCTTTGCATAGCAGCTTGAAGTTCACTAATGTCACTGCACAGTGCAGTTAGGTAACCTGTGAAAAACGAGAAATCTGCAAGACAGCGCCGCTCAACGCTCATTAATGTGCAATTTGCTAACAAATAGTGGTCGGGCTGAGCATGCTTCCAAGCAGCTTTCAACAAGTGGGAGGGAATTAGTTGGGCAGACACACAAGCCAGAATCTTCTGTCTCTCATCGCTCATAAGCAGCGATTGGCATGTTCCAGTATAGTGATGCAAAACGAAGAGGAAAGCGACCTGCGAATTCTGAAAAAAATCTGCATAAGCAGAACACCTCTGGAATTGTAGGCAAGCCTTCCTCAGGTGCTTTATCTATACTTATTTTTCACCTCATGTGAAATGGCTGTGATAGCTCAAAATAATGAGAGGTCCTTCTCATAGAATTTTCATAGAAAATTTCATGGTGGTGAAAATGCAAATAAATGATGGTGAAATTAAGAAACAATAACTAGTGAGACTTAAGCATTTCTTTTGAAATAAATATCTAATGACTCTGACCTCTATATCAGTTATCATACTTAGCAGATACTTACTTCTGACAACGACTATTTAAAACTACCTGTAATAGGCGCACAGGCCGAGAAATCGATGCACGGCCTTTTTGTCAGTGGGTGGTGAGAATATAGCAATGGTGGCTGTCTTCTGCAGATCAGAACATACTCAGGACTTGCTTATCATGTGGCCCAAGAACAAGAGTTCCTTGTACATGAAGTGGCAGTTTTCCAGTTTGAGGGTGAATACAGAGGACTTCATTGCTTAGAGTACAGCTTCAAGGCACCAGAGGTGAGCATCGAAGTTTGAGAAAAACATGACTACGTCATCCCAATACACAAGGCAAGTGTGCCATTTTAGGCCAGCAAGTACAGTACCTTTAACGCGTTGGAAGGTCTTGGAGGGCCGAACAAAGACCAAAAGGCATTACCTTGAAGTCGAACAGGCCGTCTAGTGTTGTGAATGCAGTCTTTTCTCGATTTCTCTCATCTGCTTCGATTTGAATGTAGCCTGTGTTGATGTCCGTGGACAAAAAGATCTCGCGTTGTGGAGTTGATCCAGGGTGTCGTCTATTCATGGGAGGAGATACATGTTCTTCTTTGTGATCTTGTTCAGGTGACTCGATGCAGAAACATAGCGTTCTGTCCCTCTTATTCACTAAGACCACGGGAGATGCCCATGGGCTCTTGAACGGCTGGATTAGATTGCAGAGCATTTCGTAGACTTCTTTCTTTAGACCTTGGTGTTCTCTCGTCTGAAATTGATATGAGCTCTGACGAAGTAGTCGGCCACTTTCTTCTGTTATGATGCGATGTTTTGCGACTGGAGTCTGTCGAATTCATGACGACAACACAAAGCTGTCCTTGAACTGCAGATGGGCTTTGAGCTGGTCTTACTTGGACTTTGAAAGGCTCGGGTTGACAACAAAATATGTTTCAGGATGTCAATTTGATGAAGCAGGTTCAGGAGCATCAATGAGGCCGAAAGCATTGTCGGTGTCTACAAATTTCTCTATATAGGTGACCGTGATACCAAAGTTACAATGTCTATATGCATGGCTGAAGTTTGTCAGCAGTACCTCTGCTTTGCCATTGCCCAACTCCGTGATGCCTTTTACCAAGCAAATCTGTTGGTTAACAAGCAAATGCTGATTGCCCTCGATGATGCCTACAAAGTCAGCAGGTTTTTTTAGCCAGAAATCATGATGCTGTACTGAGGAATCGCCGTGACGTGCTCTTTTATAAGGTTCAGCGCATGGTTCTTCTCCGTTGTCTAGATAGGCAGCGCTTTTTCTGAGGCCAGTGTTATCAATTCAAACCTTAGCTCGATGGCAGCACGGTATTGGCTTAGGAAGCCCATCCCAAGTATCACATCCCTGGAGCAGTGCTGTAGGGCTAGAAAGCTGGCAGAGCAAGTCCGGTAATTGATGGTGACTTTTGCTGTGCTAATGTCCGCCAGCGTTATGAGATGGCCCCCAGCGGTCCAGATTTCAGGGCCTTACCAAGCAGTTTTCACTTTCTTGAACTTTGTCATGAAAGGCGTACTGACGATCGAATAGTCGGCTCCAGTGTCAACGAGAGTGGTGACATTGTGGCCAGTAAATATTACGGCAAGGTCTCTGCTTCGTCGTCGTGCATTGCGGTTGGGCAGTGGTATCGGATCAAGCCTATGTCAGTTCGCTCTGCTGTTTCCACGTTGCATAATGTAGTCTTATTTGGGCTGTGAAATTTCGTCGCCAAGGCACCTTTCGTCTTGCGGCGGGTGCTTTAGATTTCGTTGCGGCGTTGGAGACGGGGGTAGAAGATTTTTGGTAGTTCTTTGTACAGCAAACGCACCTCCATCAGTCGCTGCTCTTAGCTTTCCGATTAAGGACTCGGGGAACAGCCTCGAGTAAGGCCAGTGTAATGGCGCCACTGCGATAACATGCGCCTGGCGATGGTCAGCAGTAAGGTCGCCGGGGTGTCCACTGTGCTTCTGTGAGGAAGTCGGCGATGTCGTGTGATTGTTCACCCATTGTGGACACAATGCGTTGACGCCGAAACCTCATAGACCCATCTGTCGGTACTGGCAAGAGCGATAGGTGTTGCCAGACTCCCAGTAGTAGTAGCACGAGCGGGCAGTGGTCGGGGGCACCAAACATCCGTTTTTTGTGGTGTGCAGCGCTGGCCTACAGGAGGGCGATAGGGCGTCGTTGATGGTGGCTGCGGCGGCGGAACTGTGGTGGGGCAGTGTCTTGATGCGGGTGTGAAGGAGCATTGTGGCACACTGCAGTGCATAGCTCATAGCTGAGGCAGCAGTGCTTCGGGAATTCGAAGCCATCGCCAAACTTCCTCACAAACAATGTCGGCATTCGAACCCACTTGAGGCTGCACCGAAGGTAACAGCTTGCACAGCTCTTCCTGCGCAATCACTCAGATGGTTTCATACAGATCGTCGGAGCCGATTGGTTGAATATCTGTGTACTTTGGTGTCAAGCAATGATTAAATTGTCAGTTGCACGTTTCCAGTTTCTTTTCAATTGTAGTCGCTTCTGAAAGGAATCCCTGAATGGTCTTTGGTAAGTTTCTCTTTAATCCCGCGAATAGCTCCTGTGTGACCCCTTGCATGGGGAAATAAACTTTCTTCTCCTCAGGCATGTCCAGCTCAATGTGGCGAAAGAGACAAGTGATTTCTTCGAAGAAGATTGCGACATTCTCATTTGGCAGTTGTACCCTTGTTTCCAGCAAAGAAGCGGCTTTTTCCTTGTGGGCAGTGCTCCTGAACATACCCAGAGATGAGCCATGGAAGAGGTCCCAGGTTTGAAGTGCAAACTCCCAATTCTCAAACCAGGTCCTAGCCACGTCTTCCAGGTAGAAGTAGATGTGATGCAGCTTCTCTTTCGTGTCCCAGTTGTTGAGTGTAGCGACTCAGCCATAGGTCTCCAGCCAGGACTCCAGGTCTTCAAATGATGACCCTCTCAAGTCAATGGCTCCCTTCGCTAATGCATCAAAATCATAGGCTGTGGCGCAGCGGTTGTCACCATCGCCGCAGTCGAAGTCATGGTCTTCGTCTTCCAAGCCTTGTCGTAGGCCCATACTACGGTGGTAGACCTTGCTGCCTGTGGCTTGTTCACTGCTCGTGGCGAGCGCCGGTGTCTCCTCCACGACGTGGGCTGGATTCACGGCATGACGGGGCCACCCGGTATAGCAAAGATACAGCATCTCCACAAGACGTCACAAGGTTTTGACGTGAAAAAAAGCAGCAGACTGTAGCTACAAGGTGAAACTGTTTATTTGGCCGAACTTGTGGCAAGTAAACTGAAGGTCGTATAACAGCAATACTAACTGGAACTGATAGCGGCAAACAGAGCATTGGTCGTCGATACACTGACAAGCAGTGACACGGTTCAGCATTTATACATGTGCCGTCAAATATTCTAGCGTTACCACTTGTAGCCACGCAAGTTTCAAAAGAAGCTGTAATGTCCACATTGTACGCGTAATTGCACCGGAAGGTTCAAGATTAACTAGACGGTTCTCAGTGAAACAGTGTGGTTTGCACAAAGCAGTCCTTACATGTGCAGCAGGGTGATAACAAAACATGAGGAAGGATTGTGGCAATATTTGCCCAACTAATGGTGGCACATGCCGTACATTGAGTGAAGACAAGGTCCTAGTTGCACATGCTAGGGCTTGTTTATTATGTGTGTGTATATCGACAGCTGGTTATGTGCTTAACAAGTCCCAGTGCAACCTAACTAGGCTTGAACACGGTGTTTGCAGTAAGTGACTAACTGACATTGGTTGGATATACTGCATAGCCAGAAAGCTAGCTTTGAAATTACGAAAAAGGCCCATTCGGCACACTCAGTATGTGCCTTTGTCTACACCTGCCCTCTCTTCCTCTTCTGCGGGGGGAGAGCACACACATATGTACTTCGCATGCACAAGGTAGGCAGTTGCCGTGTTGAAAAAGGAAAGACCACTGGCTGAAACATTGGCTCCAGTGACCCGCTGTGCTCAAGTTTACTATGTTAGGTTTGCCCCTTCACTGTGCTTCTGTTTTAATAAGACAGCTCAACACAATGTGCCCCTGAGTGCAATAAGTTGTAGGGTGCTTACACTCCCTGTAAAGTCGTTTGCACCTTGTGATGAACACTTGTTTTGCGCATAAGGCCCACTTAAGATTAGCAACCATTGAGCAGTAGGTGGCATTTCGCTCTGGAGTATTTATCACCATTACCATCATGATTAGCGCGATAGCGCCAGCAGTGACGCCTGACGGCGAGACTGGGTGGCGACACATGGAACTTAAGCACCTTTCTTTGGCATGTGGCAGTTGGTGCGCACGGTCAACTGTCGCGGTGGTCCCATGCGGACAGGCCCACCGTGGGCTCATCTCCACAAAGTTTGCATGCTACGAACAAAAAAAAGTGAGCGAATCCCCAGGAAAAGGAGGAAATCATGTGCAGAGCTCACCATTAATGTACTTGGTGGTGAGCAAGGAACGCAGCTTCTCAGCATCCTGCGTGTCAGTTTTCTCCTGCAAGAAAGTGCCATTATTTATACATCCTCTCCTAGCACTGTAATAGTGCTGTGTACACTCACGAGACATGCAGGATTTTAGGAGAGGATGAACCTCACTGTACTTGTTGGAAAAACTAAATTTGTGTTGCAAAAACCTGCAAGTGCACTGAACAAAATTTTTTTACCAAGATTTAAAGCCCAAATGACAGCACCAGCGCTGAAATTGGTGGACACCACCTTATTTTCAGAAAGAAATCAGAAGAAAATAATGAATTTAACACATTTTTCAAAAAGAACTGTGCTTAGCAGCTGTAACATGTACTAGGAGAAGTGATGCTGTCCTTGCCAGAATTCGGTGGCCAACTTCAAACCAGAATTTGACTGAGGCCAACTGCAAACCGCCATACTTGACTGAGGTGCCGCGGTGCGAGCATTTGCTAGGGGGCTGCTAAAACGTGGTGCACTATGTTTGTGGCTCACAGCAGCGGGCAATGGCGAATTCCCAAGCGTTTCAGTCACTTCTCTGAATTTCCTTTCATGCGACTGCATTCTCGGATGGCAAAACTATGCCAAACTATGCTCAGCAACATTGTCGCTAAGATTTGGGTAGTTGCAACTATGCTTTTTTTTTTTCTTTTATAACTGTATGATACATAGGAACGCTTCAAAGTTATGTATTTACACATGTAAATATCGAGAAGAAACCTACTAAAAGGCACTTTTTTTCCCGAAAGGTAGCAGCGACATATATTTGTGATGCTTGATAGCTGTTTTGTGTTCTCTCGCAGCCTGCATCAGGATGAGTTTAATTAGGCAATAGAGTTAGTTTTCAAAACAGAACACTGGAGCTGAGAACAAGTGCAGTTTCTAGGCGAGAATATTCAAAAGCATTATGTTGCGTGGTGTCCGAAGCCTATTACTTGTGGCAGAGCTAGATGCGGCATGCATGCTGACCTCCTAGTCTTGTTAAATATCAATCAGAAAATAAAAAAGCCTGTTGCACAGATGCCTTGCATCACAATCAAAACCAACAAAGATTATATTCATATTCAATATTGATTGAGTGTGATCCTGACCGAGCAGCACACACGAGTGCGCTTTCTACCACGACATGCCTGGAGCAACAATGCCCCTGTCACAAGGATGCTTTGGATTGTGATAACTAAGCCCATTCACGATTTATCACCTCAGTCTTCCTCAAAAGTTGCAGTAAAACTTCTTTTTTATCGAACCACGGGTAGGCATGTCTCACGTAAGGCTTTTTGGCAAAGACAGCATCACAATGTGCTGCAGGATCGTGCAATAAACAAAAGTTGGAAGTTTAGCGTTCATCCTATCATCTCCCTTCTTCTCTGGCTTTTTTTTCCCCATGCTCAAGCAGAGCTGCAGTACAACCTTACGATTTCATCACACACCAACTCGCCCAATGTGCAGTACATAACGCATAAGGTTCAAAATGTCCTGTAAAAAAATCAAATAATTTTTATATTGATGTTTATCTATGCTTTTTAAAACCAACTTATAGCCAAGGTAGTAGCATTTTAAATTTACACATGAAGCTTAAACAACCCTGTATTCAACTTTCCTTGTGTGCTAATAACTGAAGGTGGCCTCCTGTTTGCTGCGGTAGAGCCTGTAGGTTTTATGGCAAAATTGAGAAATGTGTGTTATTTGGCTGCGCAGTTTGAGAAAACAAGTAGTGAAGTGCATAAAGACAGGCTTTTTCATTGCCCTGCCATGGTGGTCTAGTGGCCAAGGCACTCGCGTTCTAACCCGCAGGTCGCGGGATCGAACTCCAACTGCAGCGGCTGCATTTTTGGTGGGGGCAATAATGCTGTAGGCCCATGTGCTCAAATATGGGTGCACGTTAAAGAACCCCAGGTGGTCAAAATTTCCGGAGCCCTCCACTACGGCGTCTCCCATAATAATATGGTGGTTTTGGATCGTTAAACCCCACATATCAATAAAATCAGTCTTTCTCACCTGAAAATCACTTAGTCATTCATTGTTACCATTGTAACAAACTTAATTTTTCTTCCAGCAGGTAGTTTTTGTACCCTAAGCACTTGCACTGGAGCTATTTGAATTGGTAGAAAATATTGCCTCCAATGAAGGAACACCAGCTCACGTCTAGTGCTCACGATTTACTTACAGAAACCAAAAGCCTTCAAAACACAAAAGCCTTCAAAACGTCTTCAATACAAGTGGCACAAACACCACTCACTCTCTGATATTCTTGCATAAACGTTGCAGGCCTGTTGCGTCAGCCGCTTCTTTTTTGGCTGGTTGTTTGTGCACCCAACGACGGTACATTTTCAACCAAACGAATTTTTACACATTTCACTATGGTTGAGAGTACATGCGGAAAGGAGGCAGCTAAGGAGTCCATTTTCTGACAGCTCTGAAAGCAGAGACACAAGCACAGTCATCACCTTCCATCATCAGCAGCCCCTGCTGTCGTCTGCACCATCAGGGTGTCGAGAGTAGTGACGGAGCTGACACTCATGCCACGAGGCTAAGAAAAGTGTAGTCTATATAGGCATTGCACCATGACTGTGGATGACATTAGGCTAAAAATAAAAAATCTGTGTTACAGAAAAGTACATCAAGCATCACAACGCACATGGAACATGCCCATGATGATGTTATCAATGAAGGATTGGGCATTGAATGACTCAAACTAGCTGGCCCAATCGCCCACTACGTATAAACTTGGCAACCAAAACTATTGTCTGTTGTTGTTTTCTTGCTATGCAATGCTGCTTTTCATCTTAAGATATTGCATTTCACACACTTGAATGGCAAATGTGCGATTATGAAATCAAATATAGTGTAAGACTAACATAAGCATAGGTCAGCGAACACACTCAGACTCAACTCAAGCCCCGAGTCTCATTGCAAGTAATTTCCTTTAAGGAAAAATATGGTGAGTGTGAGTCCGAGTGAGCTCAGCTCAGAAAAATTTTTCTGAGCCTAAGTGAGTCGAAAGCGAGAAATGAATTTCATGAGCGAGTGTGAGTTAGCTTCACAGGTTTTTCTGACCTATGAACATAAGTTATTTAAATCTGGTTCACTTATTTGCATCGTTTTATGCATATACATGCATATATCTGGGCAACCTGCAAAAGTTGCTCTTCCATTGTGCTCAAACTGAAGATAAATAACTTGCTGGTGTGAAGAAAAGTTTCAGCGCAAGCACACAACACAGGCTGAGAAAATTCACGACTTTCACTGCCTAAAGAGGGCGCTAGTGTAAGCCCAACATGGCTGTCGTTAGGGAACATGCATAGGGTGACGAGAATTGTGCAGCCACTGCCGGATGGTGTGTCTGTCACTTCGAAATGCGTAGTCTTTTCAGCTGCAGCCATCGTGCTGTGAAAGCGTTGCTTAGAAGGTCTTTGACTCGAGCATGTATTATATCCCACACTAGGTGTTGAGAAATGCATGTGCAGTGTATTATTGAAGTTTTGAATGCTGGGCACATCGTTTGCTGAGGTGTGAAGGAACGCATGTAGAGCTTTGTGGACACTATCCAAGTATCGTGCCCGCCAACTTCCCGACCGTAGAAATACCCGCACGAACCATGCTTTGAATTCAGGAGCGACCAAACAATGAAAGGAAGTTCACATACTCTTATTTGCTTCCTAAAACGGGGAAAAGGGTGCAACTCATCGACTTTGCGTGTGTGACTCACACCTATAGAAATGTAGTTACCTTTTCATAATGGCAGATAGCACAAAAGCGTGTGTTGCTCACAAGGCCGAAACACTATGACCCAATGTAGCGCTTGCTGCTGATTTGTATGAAAATGCGAACAGACGGCTGTGCTCCTCACAGGCTTAGTGCGTCCGAGACATTTCGCACGGAAGCAAAAGCAGACGCTGCTGCTTTTTGTCCTATGTCTTTTAGCTTGGATGACGGCTACGAAAGAGGCAGTGGTGCTCTGAAGAGCGCAGCCATTCACTTGCATGATATAGCTAAGAGTTAATCGTGACGTCGGTATTTGAACACTATTATTGCTTTGCACGGAAGGAACTACACTGGTTTAATGTGCTTGTAAACAGAAGGCACTTGGTAAATTGTAGATGTGTGCTGAAGTGTAATCAATGAGGTAGCAAAGCATGCGGCAAAATTTCAAGCATGAGTGGAAGCTGATTACATCACCACAAATAATCTGAAATCAAACTTTTATTTCCATCATGTATACCCAGACAACCCAAAAAGTCCTAAGGATACCCCAAACAAGTACCTAAGTCCCACATCCATTAAAGGAAGTCGTATGAATGTCCTGTAAACTTCAGCTAGACTTCAGATGTCCATTAAATAACCCGGAAGAGGACGTGAATGGGTGGATGCATGCATGAGATCTGCATGCGTTGACCCATTCATGTCCTCTTATGGGATGTTTAATGGACATGGTATATATCATCCCACGCAGCTTCAATTATTCTACTCACTGATATTCTCACATACATATGCACGTTGCTTCATGAATTCGTGTACATTTTCAGCGATCATTTTTTAACACACCTGTAAATATATATAGAACCCTTCATAAATATATACATATTAAATAAGCAGGTGAAAACACATAATGAAGCAGTGTTTTCAAGATTTGAAAAACAACAAGCAAAGAGGAAGACAACAGAATCACTGAATGTGTTATAAGCCTACAGTCACGTGGAAAAGCAGGAGTGCATCGTATTGCTGGAAAAGTACATTGAGGGGTACTAAAACATGTAAAGAAATGCAAGACTTTCAAAAAGACAGTTCTTTCTACTAACTAGCATGCGCCCTTCAAATGCTGCATGTACTGGTATTTTCTGGATACAGTGGAAAGTGCAACATCCAAATATAATCCCATTATGATCCCAAGATGTCCTAAGTGCAGGATGTCCTAAGGATCTCGTTTTTTGTCTCATTTTGTAGCCTTCATGGAGGTTTCCGGGAAATATCTGGGACAGCCTTAGAAGTTCCCACACATCCTAAGCAGCGCATCTTAGGAGAATCCAAAGGATGGATCTGTGTTGTCTGGGTAGACTCATGGATAACGGACAACAACAAAAAAATCTGCTGTAGAATACTTTACTAATCACTGTCAGCCACCCCACATAACGGTTGGCACATATGTACAGCAATAAAAACCAGTTTTTAAGCAAATTAAAATATTTGATCAGAGCATAATAAAAGTAAAACCCAACAGTCCACAAAAACATGTTGGTGAATAATTGACAGAAAGTGCTTCTTCAATTCTACTCATACGCGTGCGCACACGTGTGTGCAGACATGGGAGGGGGACCAATGTCTCCCGTATACAATTATATAATAAAGAGATTGAACGCTTCGACAAACCTTCGCCCGCACCTCATGGCCGAGCTAGACTGCACATGCGCGCTAGCCTGGCCGAGGCAACCTGAAGCTCTGCGCGCGTCTATGTTTTGACTAACATGCTGCGAGTGTAAATATTTCTTTTATCTCTCCCTCTTTTGCAGGGTTACTGCTCGTGCAAAGCAGGAAACCTCGCCTTTGAGTGCACGGCGTGTGCACAGCGGCACCAGGCACATTTTGTGATTCTTGTACACTGAAAAAAAAATAAAAAGTAAATCACTGCTACTACGACTCACAGCACCTGTCGGACTTGGGTTGTTCACAACTGAACTTAGAAAAGGCATCGTACAAATCACCAGTGACTAAAATATACAGCACCAGTGAATCGTCAAAGAAATGCCGACTGAACGCTGGCCTGGCTGCGTGGACATACCCCAAGCAACAGTTATGACGGCTGCCACATGGCGGCGCCACCATCTGTGAAAGTTGTGAACAGATACACACTTGTAACTTTGTAGCTGTGCTCTGGCTTCTGTTGACTTTTCATACCCTGTTGCATCTTCTTATCCCTCATTGATTTTCGTAGCGCCCTCGTCTTTTGAGAAATAGACTGACCAGTCCTGGCAGGCAATAGATTTGGCTGGCAAATACTAGTGAATGAACTATTGTAATGAGTAAAGGAGAGGCGTGAGGCACGTCCCGAGCATGGAAGCGTGGCAACGGTGCGTGAGGAGAAAAGAGGCACCCGATGGCACGCGCACCAGACACGTAGATGCAAGAGATTGGTCGGAGAAAGGCTCCTGGCACGCAACCTGAGCCGAGAAGCAAAATCCCAGAGGATGAGCTGGCACTGGGTGTTGGGACGCCTAGCTGCGAAGACGTGGGAAACAAGCGTCGCCACCACAACGGAAGGAGTAGAACCGCCCGGTTCTAAGGATGTCGGCGAAAAGGTGAAATAAGAGGTGCATAAAATTGCATTTCAAAGGTTAAAGCATGAAATGTCCCACTCTCCTATACTATAGTGCTAGATATGCAGAAAGAGTTTGTGCTATGCACTGATGCATCGAATAAGGCACTAGAAGCAGTACTCCTGCAAGAGAAAGAAGTATTCAAGGCGGCGATGCAAGCTAGTTTGGTTTTGTTCACTTGTATTCACATTTGTAGCACAAACACATGAACAGGACTAGTGTTTATGTGTTCTTTCTGTGTTTCCGTTATTATCTGTTTTGCGCTACAAATATGAACGCAAGAAAAAAGGAGTTCTCTAATCTGTGTTCTAGACGGAAGAGATTAGTCGGAGAAAGGCTCGTGGCATGGGAACTAAGACAAGAAAAAAAATCCCAGAAAATGAGGTGGCACTGGGTGTTGGGATGCCGTGCTGCGAAGACATGGGAAACGAGTGTCGCTACCACAATAGAAGCAGAAGAACTGCCCGGATCTGAGAATATCGACGAAGAGATTTCGGGACTGGCTGTCGATATCGGAAGAATCGAGTGAGGCTGCTGAGACTTGCCGCAACTTGTCACAGCAGTTCCTGGGTGGCCTACAGCTCTTCCACTTCGGGACAGAACCTATGCAGCCTGCATCACATTCAAGATGCCGTTGACGATTTAGATGTAGCCTAACTGAGCCCAAGAATACGACGAACAATGAGCTCAAGTGGCTCTTTCGGTGAAAGAGAAGTACGACGGTGGGAACTAGGGGAAGACGTTGACGACAGGAGCGACGAATCGTCGACACAACAAGGGCAACAAGTCGCGATGCGACAAGCCATAAGAACGTTCCTTTGTAGACGCCATATTGGCTTACGGCTAGCAGCTGGGGCTAACAATGGATGGATCGGAACTGAGCCACAGTTAGTTTCTATTTGCCCATGTATGCGAACGTTTATTGGAGATTATTGGGTTATTGGTGGTTTTTGAGATATTGAGCTCGTGTTCTTCGAGTTTTTTATTGTTATTTAGTGCTTTAACGTGACTTCTGTGCTTTGTTCTTGTCTATTTCGAATGATAAAGTGCGTTTGTCTTGCCACACCCGTCTCCCGTTTCTCTCAAGTTCATCCTTCGCAAGCGCTCCGGAGATAAATTCATGAGAACCATTCTTAAAAATCTGGAAGTGGGCATCCCTGCAAGGTCTGTATACCAACCAAGAAATCTTATTCACAGACTGGTTTTTATTACTCGTAGTGCATTACTCTCTTCCCATCCCAGTGAATGTACAGCAAACTATAAAAGACAAATGCAGGTAAAGTAGCCAGCTACATTTTCTTCATTTTTTTTGCATGTTTTTTTCTCATAATAAGAGTCATGCTGATTGATTGACTTGTGGGGTTTAACAACCCAAAACCACGATATGATTATGAGAGATGCTGTAGTGAACGGCTCCGGAAATTTCGACCACCTGGGGTTCTTTAACATGCACCCATATCTGAGCACACGGGCCTACAACATTTCCGCCTCCATCGGAAACGCAGCCGCCGCAGCCGGAATTCGATTCCGGGACCTGCAGGTTAGCAGCCGAGTAGCTTAGCCACTATACCACTGCGGCGGGGCGAGAGTGGTGCGTTTCGTGAAAAGCAATTTACTAGTATGAGAAAAACATTTTTTATTTAATGATGCTTTAGGCTTACTCTGAAAAGTTCAAACCATCAGTATTGTAAGTGCCCCCCTGCTCTTTCTTTTTCTGTGTATGACGAAAAGCTTCCTTGTATTCACCTCTTAATAACAGGATTCTTGGATATTTGAAGCTCCACATTCAGGTGCACCGCCCACATGTTGTGTGAATGCGTGTGGCCCCATGTTCTTTCCTTGCCGATTTTTGCTGCTGCAACCTAGCGTGTACCAGTAATGGCTGTCAGAATGCAGAAGCAACGCTTATTGCAAAGCTCACCGCCGAAGCATCCTGAGGGGTATCAACGTCACTGCTTGCCGAATCCAGGGGGGAATCGTCATCTTCGACAAGGCCACCTTGCTGTGATGGATGAAAGAAACAATATGTTAGCAACTCTCCCCATAGTTATATAGGAACATAGCAGTGATAACGCTAAATATCGGCACTCCCTCCTTAAAGGGCAAACCTATGCCCCAGTAAGACAAAGTGCACACAGTACAATAACGGCAGCCAGCATGATTGTCAATTGTGACGAATGTCACCAGCGGGTGGAATTCATCAAAATTTTACATTCATCATCACACACATTATCGCTAGTCCTCGTATTAGTTACAGTATGTATATGTTCACTTTACCAAAAACAATCAGGAACGGAAGGAATCGTTTATGGTCATTGCCAACAATGAACCGGTTAACCCAATTGCAAGCACTTCAATATATGAAATACTTCCGTTGAAAGTACTTCAAATGACAAAGTATGTTTCATGTTGAGCAAATAATTTACTGCAAATATACACATTGTACTAGAGCACTGCATGGACTGAGGCCTGCTTAAAAACCCAGCCCAGGCTGAGGCATGGTCCTGGCCTAGATTGAAGGTGCTGGGCTTGGATCGGGCTTGGACATTGCTGACTTGAAAAAACACAGAAGTGAAACAATGATTCCACCTGGACTGAAAAGATGCACACTGAAAACTCCAATATCTTTAATTTAACGATCACAAGTTTACTTATAGAGGAGAAAATCAAAGTCTTAAAATTTGTTTTAAAATTTTGCACTGAAATTTTACAATTTTGCACCGAAATCTCTGCACATGACGTCAAGGATTTAAAACTGTATTTGTCGTATTTTAGAAACATTGGCTCAATGAAATTTCCAGAAACTTGGTAGGTCAAGTCTGGGGGGAGTCAAGTGACTCCCCCCAGATGTCGATGAAATTAATTTTTACTGACTTGAAACTCTATAGGCCCCAGTAGGAGCCAGCAAAGTCTATAAGGTTGCCGCACGAATTTCAAGGTGGCGTCACCATTTGTATTTTTATTTTCGAGAGTTTTCCTGCTTACCATGAGGCTAGTTATAATGAGGATGGTGGTTTCAGAATTGTAAGAAAGTAATTTGCTGATAATAGAAAAATAATTTTTCTCTTTGGTGTCTCCAACCCGAGTGCGCAACAGCGTGTCGAGGGATACTAATCCTGATCTCACGTTCACTAGAGACGTGCACAACGCAACGTGGACAAGGCTACCAGACACTCTAGGGAGTGACCATCACATAATTCAAATAGAGGTCGAACACGCTCACCTGCTCGCTCAAGACAGGAAAAGCTCGGCTCACGGACTGGACCGCCTACAGGAATGACCTTGATGATGATTTGACTATCGAAGACATTGAAGCCTGGTTAAACAGTATTGTAAGTGTTGCTGACGGACATACCAAAACGATACACTTGAACGAGGACAATCCGGCAGTCCGATAATCATCTCCTTCACCTATGGGAAGCTCGAAGATCGCTTATTAAACGATGGCAACGGCAAAAGCTCAACCGCAAGCTGAAGCATCGCATCGCCGTGCTCACTAGACAGGCACAGGAGTACGCCGAAAACCTTGCGAGCCAGAACTGGCGGTCCTTCTGCGACAAACTTTAAGGGACATTGAGCCCAAAGAAGACTTGGCGCATTCTTCGAGCCCTGATCCAGGACACCCACACCAAAACTAATCAAAGAAATACAATTCAGCGGCTCATACACAACTATGAGGGCACAGAGCACCAGTTACTCCAAGAACTTCAAGCAAAATTGCGTGGCTCGGTTAACCAGCAAGCTACCTCCATCAACAATTCGACACCCAGGGAGTACCGAGGAGCACCGAACGAAGCACTAGACCAGCCTTTCACGCTGGCAGAGCTACGCGCTGGCAGAGCTACACGCAGCCCTTGCCAAGCTTACGTGCAACACAAGCCCAGGAAAAGACGGAGTGACCAATAAACACCTACGACAGCTACCGCCCCAGGCGGTAACGGCGCTCCTTCGGCACTATAACGACTGCTGGAGGAAGGGCGAGCTACCACAAGTCTGGAAGCACTCAGCGGTGACCATGGTACCCAAGCCAAACAAGCCAATCTCGATTGCGAATCTTCGTCCCATTTCCCTTACATCTTGCGCTGGGAAACTCCTTGAGTACATGGTAAACGAGCGGCTCACCACGCATCTCGAAGACAATGGTCACTATCCGAACACCATGTTCGGCTTCCGCCAAATGCTCAGCACACAAGACGTCCTCGTGCAGATAAAGGAAGATATTCTTCTCCGCTTGAGCAAGCACAGTAAGTAATCTGTTCTAGCTTTGGACGTAAAGGGCGCATTTGACAATGTGAGCCACGAAGCCATTCTGCGTAGCCTGGAAGATGTCGGCTGCGGTGCCAAGATATACGCCTATATGCTGGCTTTCCTCACCAACTGCACCGCCACTGTAGGGATTGCCAATATCAGGAGCGAGCTTTTTTAACTCCTTAACAAAAACACGCCGCAGGGCTCAGTGATATCCATCGTGAACTTATTTACAACGCAACACCAGAAAAAATACAGGACAGGGAAGGAGCAAAAGAGAAAGAAAAGACGGTGCTGACCCACAACTGTTGTTCATTGGAAAAAACAGGGTAAAAAGTGTATATATAGGTACTGGCAGCCTACAGTGTATATATACACTTTTTACCCCGTTTTTCCCAATAAACAACAGTTGTGAGTGAGCGCCCTCTTTTCTTTCTCTTTTGCTCTTTCCCTGTCCTGTCATTTTTCTGGTGTTGCGCTGTAAGTAAGTTCACGATGGATCCTAACCAACTGGCCCAACTTACCGTCTACTCAGTGATATCACCAGTGCTTTTCAACTTGGCCCTCCTTAAGCTCCCACGTCTCTTGGACGCTGTCCCTGGATACATCACGCGTTATACGCCGATGATATCACTATGTGGACAAGAGGTTCAAGCACGGGTGAACAGAAGGACCGGCTTCAAGAGGTGGTTAGCATCACTGAAGGATATCTCAAGACCTGCGGCCTCCAATGTGCTCTGGAAAAGTCGGAAGCTGTACGTACTTGCGGCACGCACCCGGGGTAGACCACCAAGCTACGACACTCCTGACCACAAGTCTTTCTACAGGGAGTCCAAATACACCAAGTTGACACGCTTCGAGTCTTGGACTACACATACATAAAGATGGGTCTGGCTCCGCTGCCCTACCCTGGCTGCAGAACACTGTGACACAGCTCACCCACCTAATCCGAAGGGTGGCTAATCGCCGCAGTGGCTTCAAAGAGCATGACACCCTAAAAATGGTACAAGCTCTCCTTTACGGCCGCATAACATACAGAACTCCCTACCTCAACCTGAAGACAGCGGAGAAACAAAAACTTAATCTGCTGATACGAAAGGCTACAAAGCTTGCCTAGGACTGCCGCCAGCCATCTCCACTGACCGACTGCTTCGCATGGGAGTTCATAATACGTCGAAAGAACTCACAGAAGCACACCTCATCAACCAGGTCGAGCGACTCAAGCTGTCACTCACAGGGCAAGCCGTCCTTCGACGCACAGGATACCAGACCACCCTAGAACCCAATGAAGAACGCAAAGGCAAAATACCGTCACAGCTGCGAGAAAGCCTTGAAATTCAGCAGATCCCTCGGAACATGCATCCTCAATATCACCGAGAAAGGCGGCTCGCCAGGGTTAACATGATCGGGAAAAAACATGGCAATGACCCGCAGGCGCGATACGTGGACGCAGCCAAATATCCGAGACGTAATGCCTTCACGATTACCGTCGCAGATTACAAGGGCGCGGTACTGGCATCGGCGACTATCCTTGCCAAACGTGCGGAAACAGTTGAAGAGGCTGCTATAGCACTCGTCCACCCAGATGAGTGAGGATCCCATCATGGTCTTTACCGACTCACAAACAGCGGCACGGAACTACCTGAAAGGCAGGGTCTCCACGGTGGCGATTAGGCTACTAAAGCGCATGGACAATCCTCCTCCCTACACATGCATCGTGTGGATTCCGGGTCATGAAGGTCTCGAAGGAAATGAAGTGGCACACACCACAGCCCGCGAATGCGTCAACCGGGCATTCCTATACGAGATCCGAGGCACCTCCCATTCAACAACAGAATCAGAGACAAGAGAAGCCATACCACTAACGTACCATGCATTACTGCAACATTATCGGCTCGAACGCAGGTTATACCCTCCGCCACATCCAAAACTCACAAGAGACGAAGGGACTGACTATAGGCATCTTCAAAGCAACACGTTCACACACGGCGTGCTATTGCACCATATGAGGCCAACGTTGCACAGTTACATCTGCCCTCACTGCAAAGTGGCAGACACTCTGGCGCACCTCCTACTGCAGTGCAAAGTAAGCGTCCCAAGAATACGAGCAGGAGCACCAGATGCGAACCAAGACCTCCTCAGTGAAGCGTGAGAGGCTACGATCTCCCAGCTGGACCTGCTCGAGCAGCGTCCATTCGTCGCTCGAGCTCGGCGGGCTGTCCAAGCCAGAGGGTTCCTGGAATAAGGGGCCCTCCCACCTTCACTCACAAGCTTCTTTCAATAAATGTTGTCTCTCTCTCTCTCTTTGGTGTCTCTTTAAGTCTGTTGCATATATGTTGCGCATACATACTACATGTGTCACATTTTATCTCGAAAAAAATGCTTTTTTTTATGTGGGGTAAGTTATTTGGAGTTGTATGATGGGCAAGTACTGAACTTGTTTCGCTTCTTGCATATAAAGCTACTTCATTTATGTGAAATGGCCAAGCTAAAAGTGAATAGACCAGATGCTTATATATTTAACATCTTGACTAAGGTGCTTGATTGGGCTGGTTGGTGCTGCATGATAGACGAAGAAAGTGCTTAACAGCGCAAACGACAGGAGGGGATAGAAGAGACGAGAACAGAGCACTGATGTTCTCACACGAAAACTGTGTGAGCAAAAACCAGCATTTTTGATATACAAGCCTTCGTTGTACTGGCAGTACGACAAAACTGTTAAACGTAACAAAATGAAATTTGCTGAGCCTCTTA